GATCTGTCCGCCGATGCCGAGTCCATAGTGATTCTTATTAAAGTAGCTCTCCTTCTCAAGATATACGGTATTGGCTCTTTATATTTAACATAAGGAGTCAAATAAGCAGGAGCTTGCCCCGCAATAATATTACGAAGAAGAAGGAGCTTATGAATGTCATAAAAATAGTTTCTCAATATATATTCCTCGACCAAGAAATCTTGGAAAAAGTTCGGTAAAAAAGTTTTAACTTCAAAACTAGAGAAATTAAAGTGAAATTAAAAGGAGATTTTCTGAAGATCTCCTAGAAAACCTTGACCACGTGGTATGGAAATCTCGCCAAACTCATGGTAATAACAGTCAAAAACATCAATATTCCTTGCAATTGTATGTTTATTATATACTTGTCTACTATAAATCAAAACGGTGAATGAATAGAAATCGACGACTTTTATGAAAACTATGACTTGCTGTCGACCTTTAAGTGTATTGCGACATGTCATCAAAGTTCAAGCGACTTTCTTAGCATAAGTTCTTACATTGTGATACTGAGAAAAAATAAAAATATTTGAATGACGTGAGTAAAAACTATTCGCAGAATATCAAATAAGAATGACGAATAGATGTGTGTAGTCACAGAACACAAAAATATATAATTAGAGAACAACATTCTACTCATGAAATTAATATCAATATTTTTTCGCCGTATTTGTATAGATTTTGTTTTGAACAATCTTTTCTTTGAATATATATTGGTCGAGACACTTCTCAATTGATCAAGTCGAAGTTTCCAATTAGAAAGAATAAGTCTTGCATAATAAAAGAAGGAAAACGGTAAAGATTGCAGAATAACACTATAAAAAATGTTAGATTAAGCTCGAGTTTTCTATTAAAACTATTAATGCCAGTATATATAATAAGTTCACGTTTTTAAGAAGAATCAGAGAAGATTAGAAGTGACTGAAATAAAAACAAAGTGACAGTGACGAGATTCGAACTCGTGCCTCCGGAGAGACCAGTGCCTTAAACTGGCGCCTTAGACCGCTCGGCCACACTGCCTGCCATCTGTTAAGACAGAAAAGATTTAAAAATGAGTCTTAACTAAAACGTGAATAGCTCTGAATTGCCATAAGATTGATTATTTACTTATTCACTTTAACTCCTTTTGATGAGTTTTCAGCTTATAGGTGTGCATATGGGTGAAACGTATAGCAGTATTGTACCGTTCTCATCTGACGTGTAAAAAATTAATAACTTATTAACTTCCTGCCTTAACAAATTTGTTGTGCTTTTTAACCAACTGTTTTTTCCCAGCAGATCTCTCTTAGGATAATTTGTTTCTATGACGACCGCACGTTTCTCGCACTTTTGTCGTATACTGCATGTACCAAAGAATAATTCTCGATCCACCGCTGCGTCACCCACCGATAAAAAGTTCTTTTTATACTGATTTAATGTGTTTAGACTTCATACTTCATCTACTATTCTTTTCAAATTACCCAGTCAAAGAATCCTATAATTGGATCATATGGAATCTTGTAAGATCCTAAAATCGTATGAAATTCTATTGCCAGTATGATCCTATAGGATCTTGTAGGAACCTAGTAAGATTGCTTGACCTGAGTATAAGGCACGTTTTTTCTGAATAATTCGAGAATAAAAGAGAATAGAGATTTGCAATTTTTGCCATTCTATAGCCAAGCATGGCATCTTTTCATAATAAAAAAACAGTTGCAATTTCTTTCAAAAATCGGTTTTCTAAAGAATCTTTGGAAAATTGTTATATAACTAGAAAATTTAAAATCGCAATATATTGTTTTTTTTTAACGAGTGAATAATCCAAAGTGTTTTCTTCAAAATGGGAGTCAAGCAAGACCTTGATTTTCATTAGTTCTGGCGTGGTATTAGATTTTCTGGGACTGGTTCCCGGCGACTGTCTATACCTTCGGGAACGGTTGGATTATAGGCAATCGATCATGCTGACCCTCGTGACACTGTTAGTTTTTAGAGAAGAATTTTAAAATGGAAACGAAAAGCGGAACAATATTTGTATTATTGGTAACAGTAACGTGTCACCCCTAGCGTTAAAGCTTTTACTCTTGAACGTGTCATAGATCACGAATAGATTCCGTTGTCGGGTGTATTCTTCTTACGAATTCGTGTCTAGGAAACTATTCCTCTGTTTCGCTTTTTAACTTTACTAGGCACTGCTACCGATGTTGCTGATATTTTTGGAATGCTGGATGATCTCACTTTACTGACATCGTTCAGATATTTTTAACATCTCGTTTGCAGATGACGAAACGTCGTCTTTCCAACATACGTATCATCACATTTATTTCATATTACAGCATACACAATGCCCGATTGTAAGTTCTTAAAGATCAGATCTTTTGTACTTAAAATCTCGATCAATTTTGCTATCAGTGTTTTATACAGTTCTAATATCTTTCAATGAAAAGTGTTCTTTGGCTAAATGTTGTACAGGTTTTCCATAAGAATAACTATTTCTATCATGAAATTGAATTTTGAATACAACAAGTTCCAGTTTTGCATCTATATCTACGATACATTTATGTTTCTCTTGAGACTCTTGCAATTCTTCACGACATATTCTTAATCGAATGGTGATCGAGTCTCGGAGAGTTCTAAACAGTCAAACAAGCGAGAGTGATTAAAAAGACAGCAAAACAGATTGATTTTTAGGACTATTCAGGACTCGATCACTCATTTTGTTCAAAAATGCTTGCTTAACACGACTGACCTGTGCAGGAAAATCTGTTTTCTACACTAAAATCTGCTTTTTTAGAGTTTTAATTTCGAGACACTCATTTGTTAGCAGGTCTAATGCGGCTCTTATTTTTCTCTCTCTTGGTAGAAAAGTTTAAAAATCTTCGTAGTGAACGTACTTGCATACAGGTACTTGGTCAAGTACCCTCGCAAGTTTTGTCCAACGTTCTTGCGCTTTTTTGCAAGTAAACCAAGTACTTGTCAAGAATATCAAGTACTTGAATTACTTTATCTTCTTGTGAAGTCATTTGCCACGCACTTTTACCCAAGTAACCCCCCAAATACCTGGCAAGTGCTTTCAGGTATTTATCGAGTAGTATTTTTTGAAAATACTTGTCAAGTACTTTTCAAGTACCCGTGAAAATTTGCAAATAAACAAGTACCCACGCCCAAGTACATTCAATAGGGCTGGCTTTAGCTCTTAAGTTGAGGAAAAATATCAGAAAAGGAATAGACGTTCGGTTTAACAGTAAATACGTCGTAAATTCGCTCTGCTGTATTTACCATGCAATTTTATTACCATTCCCCCATAATAGAAGACCACCATGGTCTTCTATTTGGTGAGCAACTCAAGTCGATTTTTGACCAAAAACCATGAAGGTAACCTCAGAAAAAATGGTCAGCAGTGATCTTCTATTGTAGGAGATGAGGGGATAGAAAATTAAACAAATTATCAACATCATTTTTGATTATTTGTTTTTATAATACAAAATCTAGATAAATTAAAACTTGAAAAAAGAAATACGCTTAGCTGATAGTGTAGAAAAATTACTTTTAACACCATCGAAATAAAATTAGTCTCATCAATTTTAATCGTCAAATTTCAAAAGTTTTTGATAAAATTGTATTACATCTTTTGGATAGAGCTCATTGACAATTTTGTTTAAGACCCATACGGGTCGATTCAATCCACGTAATTTACATTGAAATTCGAGTCTATTCGATTTATCATCGACTTGCCTTAAACCAAGAATCTTTTCTAATCGAGTCATACCATTATTAAATGGATTATCTTTTTCCATTTTAAAAAATAAAAATGATTGCTCTGATGAATGAAAATTATTTTCATCTTTAATACTATCCGTAGTCAAAGATGTAGTTACTGGTACAATTTCTTTCTCTTCTGCATATGATTTAACATTTGTTGTAGTGATTAATTTTGTAGTCTGACATTCTTGTTGTTTCTGTTCATATTGTTTAATTAATTTTTCACAGTTCAAATGATCATAAGGTTCCCATGTATTATATTCACTTGACCACCCCTTCCATTTTAATAAATATTCTACTCGATTATTAACAGAACGTTTATCTAACACTTTTTCCACAATATATTCACAGTTGAGCATTTTATCAAATCTAAAATACCAGTAAAAATGCAAGAAAATGTATGTCTGATGTGTAAATAAAATAAAAATGAAAAATTGTTGTCAATTGAAAGAATGAAGCTTAAAACGTTTTGTCTTTCACTTCCGATGCAAAAACAAGAAAAAATAAAACTATAATAATACTATATTTGCATTTACATTTGCTTTTCTACTCGATAAACTAAGATAGAAAAGAGTTTTTCAAAAAAAAAATAAGATTATAGGTTACAAAGAGCTTGATAAATAAGCATTTTACAATAATAATAGACTAAATAAAACGTTAAAATAAATTTTAAAGAAAGTTTCAGAAATATTCTAAAAAATAAACGCAAAAAGTGTCCGATTAATTTTCTCTCACTATACTTTTATTAAATCTCGATAAAACTTAGTTGATTGAGTGCATCACTTACTGTTTCATTGTGAATGCTCATTCAAAGGTGGAAAATAAACCCATAAAAAAAAAATGTTATTTTGTTCTTTAGTGAACATAAGCTTTTTTTTAATTTTTTCTACAATTTCTATTAACACTTGTAACCTGTTATATCTTACATACAATGTTTTCTACTTTTAAAGCAAATCTCGAAAGTGTCATCTTCGCAAAAAAATGTTTTGTTCACAAATCGACATTATATAAGAGTTTTCAAAAAGAGTAAATTTTACTCGAATATACTAACTATCGAAGTTCTCAGTGTTACCTCACCAATATTAAAGAATTTTTTCAACATGATATCTCTCATCAAGACATCAAGTTCTTCGTACTCTATAATTCTTTACTGATTCGAATGAAATCGTTATAATAGTGCTAAATGCTTTATACTCTAAAAAAAACATCGGCATGAAAAAAAAGGCGGAAAAACTGAAAAGTAGATCGAAAAGTCTTATATGAAGACGTATGAATTCGACTGTTTTGTAATCAACTTTAGGGATGTACGAACGGATTACTATATTCTTCTCTCCTATACACTTTATCCTGTAAAATTTTTCATAGTTGTCTTACCATTTGAAAAATTTCGATCGTCATCTGCAAAAATTTCTTTCTGCGAGGGATGAACGTAACTGATTTGTATATTGACACGAATTTGTACGCTATATTTTTATATACACAATAACAAATAGCATTCACTATTACAGAAACATTATTTCTTCTTTGCAAAATGAATATTTTTTCATTAATTTAGTGAGAATAGCAGTTTTAATGATAGTTCGTCATCAGTACTGACAATTGATGGTTTTTGTTTTTAATCGAACAAACGTTAGAGAATGACGTTTTTCAACCGTGAAGAAATCATCATCAAAGACCATTGATTTAATGGCAGAAATAGCAGTTTTAATGACAAAGAAAGTGATTCAGACATTTCTGAGTGAAATACTAATTCCAAAACATAAAAGCATTATATACCGTATAGGCTTTAGGACGTTTATGAATACAGAATATTAATTTGTCATTCTAAACGATACGGTTGTTTTATTTTATAATTCTTTATGATGAATAATTTGCTACTTTTGTTAGAGTAATAAACTCTAACACATTTTTTTACCGGTTCTTAGAACACAACTTACCTATTTATTTTTTGACTTTAGGCTGCTTGAATTAATTCAAAACCAGAGCAAGCACTATTCTTATGTGAAACGATTTTACTCGTTTTTCCTTTTTTGGACTTCTCATATGATATAACAACCGAACAACATTTGACATATTATGACAGAAGAAAACAAGAAAGAAAAAAAAATCGCACTTTTTCATGCTGTGGAGATGATTCGAAGGAGAAAGACAAAAATATACGTTTTATAGATGAAAGGAGAATTTATTGTCGTTTCTTTTTTGTTAAAAAAAATTAAAATGTCGTTTGTATAATGTACTATAAAGTAAATCGACCTTCCGTTCATCTGACCCCATGTTTGAGTCGTTGAAAATCAATAGTGATATCGTCTTATGATATACACCTCTAGGATAAAGCGAACCCAACACAAACAAGTTTGCTTTTCAAGAGTCAACCTTATAAGACGGACAATTTGCCTCGAATGGATTAAAATCAACCCAATTTTAAAAGTTATGTGTACTTTAAAGAATATAATATGTGGTGATCTAACATGTAATGTAAACAGAGTTGGTTTGCTTTGAGTCACTCATATTCAGCATCCTTACGACAATACTTTATCCCTTCACATAAGTAACAAATGTTAGAAATATGAAGAACAGAGCCGTCCCGACCAAGGGCGGAGCAGGCGGAATTCTTCCTCCTACTTTTTGAAAATTTGACTCCCAGATTGGGAAAATTGTACTCCGAACATTTTCACTTAACCAACAGTTTACTCCAACTTTAGACATAAAAAAACACTCACGAACGGACAAGAAAGATCCTGTCACTTTCCCTCCTCTCGATTTCAGAGGAATCCGCAAATACTTTTTTCTTTTATCTGAACGAAAGTGTGAGAGAGTTTGCTCGCAGCTTGAAAGAAAACAATTTATAGATATATTTTCGTTTTTGTTTTTGCAGCTAAAGATGTATCAGATAATTCAGATTGTAATCAGATTGTCTTCTTTTCACTTCTTGTATAGTATAGATTTTACTACGACCCACCCTACTCTATAAGCTTTCACACATCATCCTATTCTACCCTATTCATTTCAGACGATTTGCACTCTACATCAAACTTGGTACAAATTGAACAAATTCGGACCAGATTGGACCGGTCGGTAGTCAGTCGGCTAAAAGGTTTCGATAAACGGGCAAAAAAGCCTGATTACCGACCGGTTTATGCAGAATAATCAACTGCTACAAAACCTATGGGAATGTCAATAATACAACCGTAGACGCTGTTACTTTTCTAGCTCTGTCAGCATGTTAATGAAGGAGAAGAGAGCAGTTTCTTGAGGTTCCAAGCTGTTTGGGACTTGTCCACTTAAAAGTCCACCTTTTGGACAGTCCACCACGTTTTGAGATAATTATGGATGGCTTCACAACGAAATAACGTCATACAAAGTCATTGCCGTGGGTTTTACGTTATTTCGTTGTGAAGCCATCCATAATTATCTCAAAACGTGGTGGACTGTCCAAAAAGTGAACTTTTAAGTGGACAAGTCCCAAACAGCTTGGAACTTCAAGAAAATGCTCTCTTCTCCTTCATTAACATGCTGACAGAGCTAGAAAAGTAACAGTAACTACTGTTGTATTATTGACATTCCCAGAGGTTTTATCGAAATCCAACGTAAGAGAACAGATGAGTCTAGACTTGTGTTGGTGTTCTGAGTATTCGATCCAGTTGTCTAATCAAATTCTTAAAGTTCCAAGCTGTTGTACCATTGCTTTGAGACAGATTGTAGTATGCAGCTTTTCCAGAAACAAAACATCGCCACTGAATCCAGTATGGTCGATAATGTAAGTTTCCATTTATTTTAGAGGTTATCCGAGGTGATCTAGTACAAGTCTTGAAACTCCCGGTAAAACTGAGACCATGCCCCAAACTACACAGGCTGAATCTACTGACCAACATTCCAGGTTTACTTCCGATACATTTTCCAGGACTGATCCCACGGATCTTGAAATTCTGAAATTGGTAGTTGCGTCTCAAGGAGAAGAGAGTACTTTTTCGGGTTTTAAGCCCTTTGATGGGGTTTGAGGGATTAAAGTATTTTACTCTTGTACAGTTCCACCTGAATTAGGGTATTTCCTGAAAATTTCGTTTCACTATGTTTATCCACCTTCTCCTGGAATAAAACATTGCCACGAGATTCAGTACGGTGGATAATCTATGTTTCCACATAGTTGTTTATTTTACTGCTAAGTTCATTTAAGAACACATTGGCTTTATGACAGTTGATTATTCCGCATAAACCGGTCGGTAATCAGGTTTTTTTGCCCGTTTATCGAAACCTTTTAGTCGACTGACTACCGGTCGGTCCGATCTGGTCCGAATTTGTTCAATTTGTACCAAGTTTGATGTATGTGGAGAGTCTGAATCTGCAATCAGTTTTGATCGAACACGCTTTGAAAATTTTCGCGACTGAATTGATTGTTTTCAACACTTTTCGTCAATGTGGCTTATCATCGTGGATATTTCAGTATTTCAAAAA